GGACTTCATGTATCGATACTCGCGGTGAAAAAACAATACTTTATGGGGAAACAAAATATCGATATATATCGCAGGATCGATAAAATTGCTCAGCCCTACTTTGTCTTTCTTTCTCAGGAAGGTCCACAGGGAAAGGGAGCAGGCCTTTGAGACAAGCATGAAGCTTTACCAGGACATTTCACCCAGAGATGTCGGTGTTTCCTTGAAACTGTTCCCCCAGGACCCTGGCGCACTACAAGGGTCCTACCCCTACGAGTCTGCTGTTCAGGAGCTTAGGCTTCTCATTATAGACCGCTGTCCACAGAGGAAGTTGGAATGTATTGGTGAGTCAGATTGCGTTGTTTTTATTCTTCCTCACACAAAGGCTGCCTTTCAGGACAGATAGCTTCTCTTGGGGTGTGTTCATTCAACCCCGAAGGAGGCGATCCACCCTTTTCTGGCTGCGTACCATGACCTCAGACTTGGAGCCTGTTCTCCTAGTCACTTCAGATTTTCAGGATATGTGCAGGCCTTGAAAAGTCTTAAAAAGTATTGAAGTCAGTTCCCTTAAAGGAAAAAGCCTTAGAAGGTATTAAAAAGCCTTAATTTCGATACATAAAGTATCCAATTGCAGGCTGTCAGGAGGCGTTATTCACCTATAAACTAAAAGAGGGATTACAGTAGTCATTAGATTACAGACCACACACCACTTTTAGAGTGTCATTGCTCTCTTTCTGTATCTATTTTTAAAGTTTTGTCCAAGGACAGGGGTTTAACATATTTCTACTGTTTCCCTATAGTTCGGACATTACGGCTGATCTGTGCCTGTGCTGAGGATTACAGGTGTCTTCACGAGGTGGACTCTACACCTAAAACAGCTGCCATGTGAGTAAATCATCTGCTCAGAAGTGTGTTTGTCTCTGCAGAAAATATAAAACCACTCACTTTATACTGGAATTTTTAATGGAAAATGGAAATTTCAAAATGGTAAAATAAGACACCTACAATAAACCCAAAACACTACACTGAACACCTTGATGATTAAGAACATTGTACGGAACAGTGTAGAGTGTTGGGGGTTGAGTTATTATTTTAGTTGAATTCCTCCAAAGTATACCTCATTAAACTTCAAAATAAAAGCCCTTTCTCCACATGCACACTGTGAAACACTGTCCCAAAGTCCAGTGGCAATACCCAAACATCATTTAAGGGCTCTCTGCCTTGGTAGCTGCCCTGTCAGGACTCATCAGTGCTCTGCTAAGCCTGCCCCAGCAGGGAATTTACTAGGTCTTTTGCGCCCCCCTATAGAGTGCCCCTTCCTGGCCAGGCCTAAAAGTGGGTCGTCCTGTCTGGGTTTGGAACAGACCCAGGGTCCAATAAGGGGCTTGGGGAAGAGAAGAAAAGACATGGAGGTTTTGAGGAATCCATGATGATGCACAAAGTCAGACAAAGGCTCAGTGGGTTGTAGCACCGATTATGGAGAACATGCAGTGCACCGTGGACCTAGATTGTTCTGTGCTGACAAAGTTTTAATGAACCACAGAGTATTTAATGTAAAAATTCACATTTAAGAGAGAAAGCAGTCACCTGTCACTGCCTAACTCATCTGTAAGTTTGCATCAGTTTTTCTAGTGAGCACACAAGTAAACAAAGTGATCAGTATTCCAGTATTTCTTTTTCCAAACTGGGTGGGGATCTTAGTCCTAGAATAGGAGCATTTACTGGGTTGTCTGGAGAGCCAGTAGGTTCGGTTAAGGTTAGACACTTTTTTACTATGGCTTAATCAGTTGGGATATGTCACCAACATTTAAAGGGTTTAATGTGTGTGCTCCAATAATGCTTGTATAAGTCATCTGTTTTGAGGGCAGTGCAACACACAAACATCCCGTGTCTGGAGAAAGGAGCACGATTTATTTATTTTGTTGTGTGTTTTGTGTTATTTGATATCTTGTCTTTTTTCATAAACTCTTGTCCTCATCCCTTTTTCCTCTTTTGTTGGGTCCACTAATGTTATTTTGAGAATGTCTGAGGCCATGTCTCCTGCTCCATATCTGTCTCCTTGTATTGCGCCTGTGTGAAGTGATTAGAGACGGCGGAGTAGAAGAGTTGACCGGGCACAGCACTTCTCAAAGCTTTGTACGCAAAAAACTTGTGACGTTGAAGATTTTTGTGTGTACTGTTGTGAACAGCTTAGTACCAAACTGTGGGTCCAAGAAATGAAAGCTGAATTGTGCCGTGTGGAATTTGTTTTGTCACCTGGAAACATGAGTCAAACGGGGCCAAACCACAGAAGACGATTTATTCTTTTCCTTGTTTATTTTTTGGAGACCAAGAATACAATCATGTCTGACATCTCTGGCCAAGCTGCAATGATTTTCAATGAAGACAATTGCAGATTATATCCTAAGTAAAATAATGAATTAAAACCAGCATTTTAAACCGTTTTTCAAAGGTAACCTGCTAACTGATCACAACTCCATTTCATTCTTACAGTGTCATAATCTAGTGGCCCCTCACAGCTCTAATTCAGTAACAATTTAATTCAGAAGTAAACTTAAAATTTCCAGTCTAACTTTGATTCTAAGCTCGGTTTAAGAGAGTAAGTTTGGACTGTGTACTTTCCTGCCTGAAATCTGCAACTCAGTACAGGCCCACATGTCACTGCTTTTCTTAGTCACCTAAATACAGGTTTTCTTTCTGCATGCCACTGTGACTCAAAGTGTTTTTGATCATGTCCTGACTGTTAGAATGTGGATTTATAACTAATCGCAGTGTTCTGCTGACAGACTAGCTCCTCAGACTTCAGCAGGACTGAATCAAACGAAAAAGAAGGACCTAAGATTTTTTTTTACCTGTTTGAGCTTCATATTTTAGCCAGGATCTCAGGGCGCAAAAAGATTTGTAGGCGAGGGAATCTCTGCAGCACTACAGTACTTCATTATAATGTCACATTTTACCTTTTATCCAAAAACTACAGCTACTGGGATTTAGATATTGCATGTGGCCATATTGTGATTTGGATAAATTGTGCAGACCTAGTTTCTGCTTATTTTTTTTTTGCCACCCCTTTACGCTTAAATGTCTAATTCACAATCTCACACACACAAACTCACTTTATTGTACTCGCTGCCCTCCTTTATTCAATGAACAGCATTACCATTTTTGTCAGTTCTTTGTCCTCGACCAACTAGGAGCTTGTTTGTTCTCTTGTGTGCTTTTGTCTGCATCCCTTTCCTTTCTCTCCTCTATTGTGCTGCTAAACTGGTCTCCTCTCCTTCCATATCTTAATTAAGAATATTTACCCCCCTCTGCATGTTTCTGCTATTTTCTGACTTGTGTCCACTTATCCTCTTCTCAATTGGAATGCAAACCCATAATGGAGCTTAATCTTCCCACTGAAATCAGTATTTATGCATGTGGGAAGAGTGCATTGTATCCTTGGAATGCAGACACACCAGTTTCCGTGTGAGAGAATCGATGTGTGTGTTTACAGTAGTGAAGTCAGAAGATTATAATTCAGGGTTGCGATTGTGCGTGTGAGGTCCAGCAGTGGTTACATGAGCCTGTCCACACCTTCCAGAACCTGCAGGAGGAGAATATCCAGTTTCATGCGGCTGGGTCAGTCGGGGGCCAGCAACTTACCTTCTCACGCAAACTAGCCAGCAAGCAGTTAGCCCTGCGTGTGAGTCCCGATAAACAAATGGTCACTGTCTGCACACAGGCAGAATGCTATCAGGCTGTCATCATCTCCCCGGCTGCAATTTGTCCTCCCAACAGATCTCAGTGAGAGAAAAAAAGCTTTATCATTTCCATCCCTGAACACGCATCCCATTAAGAGCTACTCTCGATTTAGTTTCCATTCAGTCCCCCGGGGAGCACATGCCATCATACTCTGTAAATGTCACTATCTATTTTCTCCCCCGTCTGATTTATTTACTTCTGTTTTCCTTTTTTACTGGACTCCTTCCTCCTTTCTTCTGACAGCGGTGCAGATGACCTGTTGCCCATCCTGTCCTTCGTAGCTCTGCGGTCCCAGTGTCCTCAGCTGGTATCTGAATGTGCTGCCTTGGAGGAGTTCATTCATGAAGGGTGAGTCATCATAATGAAAAAAGATGCTGAATGACCCATCTCCTTTGTTTGCACCAAATGCACAAAAACATTTGTGACAGACAAGAGCAGCCAAAAAGCCAGATATTTTTCTCAGAGCTAAAAACTGAGTGAATGAAACAAAACTCCAAATGAATGCCAATGTTGCTCTGTGTCTGCTGGATATGTAAATGTTTGCTGATGCGGTCACCATAACAATTTCATATGCTGATAATATGTCAATGTCCACCAGAAAGCACCAGCGTGTTTTTTAACAATGTCTTACTCTGTACAGATCTTTGTCACAATATTTTAATAACCAAATTTAAGGGATCCTTCAATCCGGGAGATGTAAAATACCTAACCTAATAAGTGACAGAAACCATCTTTGAGTCATATTTATTTGACTTATCTGACTTGATTTACAGTTTAACCCATGTCCCATTTGCTAACCGGGGGGGGGGGTTACTGCAGCCAGCCACCAGGGGCAGATCGAGATGTTTTGGCCTCACTATTGGGGAGCTGTCATGTCGTCCATCTTTATATACAGTGAATGGGTTGAGCACATGTAGTCAAGTTGAACAGTTTGGGAACGGCTCGTGCTCTTGAGTCAAGGTAATACATCATACTAAGTGTCACTGCGTGTGAGTTGAGACCACACCCACGACTCTACTCCCGGCCATAAAAACAGTAGGTTGTAAAAGCCCGCTGGTTAGATTGGCAGTGGCAAAGGAATGTCAGGAAATTTGGGATTTGGTTTTGGTCTTCTCTATAAAAATACAAATAAAGAAAGTCCCACTTGATGTTTATGTAGTTTAGTGGGTTGGAAGGGTTCAAGTAAAGGGAGAGGTGGAACCAAGACGTGCCACAACACTGAGAGGGTTGATTAAGAAAGCCAAGAGTCTTTTAAAATGATTGGTTTAGGCAGCTGTCAGTGCCAAGTAGAGTTATGGTGAATCTAATGAGATATAACATTTCATTTTATTTTGATCTTTTTTTATTCTCATCCTTTGAGTAACACTCAAAGCGCTTTATACTACATGCCACATTCACCTATTCACAGCTGGGAGCTTTCAGTGAACCTGGACCTGGACTGAACTGAGAGACAGACAGAGGCCAGTTTCACAACAGGGAATATAGTACCAAGGTGGTTTTCTTGTCTGGTTTGGCTCCTGGCAACCCGTGGGCTAGCTGCATGGCTACTTTAGCAACAAGTAAAGCTAAGTTTCAATCGGGAAACT